GCCGCTTCGGGGGCACCGCGCCTGCGCACCGGGGCAGCGGCCGCGGCGGAAGGAGCCGCCCGCCGCCACGAAGGGGACGGTGGAGGGAAGGTTGTTAACGCCCTCGCGGTACCAGCAGGGGGGGCGAGTCCCGGCAGCCCAGCTCGCTCCCCCGCGGTGTGCGGGCAGCCATGGGCCGGGCAGGGCGCAGCCAGCGCCTGGCAAACGGGGCCTCGAGCAAAGCCCAACCAGGAGAGCAGCTCACACAGAATCGTCTGGGTTGGAAGGACCTCGAAGATCATCCAGTCCAACCGTTCACCGAACACTGACAGTTCCCAACTACAGCAGATCCCTCCGCGCTGGGTTGACCCGACCCTTAAACCCCTCCAGGGATGGGGACTCCACCACCTCCCTGGGCAGCCCATTCCAACGCCCAACAACCCGTTCTGGAAAGAAATGCTTCCTGATATCCAGTCTAAACCTTCCCTGGTGCAACTTGAGGCCATTCGCTCTTGCCCTATCACTTGTTACTTGGTTAAAGACTTGTTTCAAACTGCAGTCCTTTGACCCACCAGTGAGATTTAGGAGTTGCGGAATGCTATTGCTGCTTATTCAAACCAAAAATATTAATTTACACATAAGCCATGACCTTCAAGGTACTACAGGGTGTGACCTGAGGTGAGAGCACCCTGATGTCCAGAAGAAACAAGCTGCCATGAGGCCCCAGAGCACTTCCAAATTAAGCATGCAACACATCCCAGAGCCTTCACGTTCAAGTGGGGTTTGTCTAACCTAGTGAAGACAGAAATATCTCTACATACAAGATCTACACTTACCTGGAATCATTTCTGCTGAAATAAATAGCATTATTTAAAATAATATGACAGAAAGGAAGACAAAAGGCCAGCAGTTCAGAATACTTTTCCGACAGCAGCACAAGTAGGGCAGCAGAAAACACAAAACACTGGTCAAATCAGTCAAACTGGCAAACCAAAGCTTTATTTTTTGTTTAAAGTCTTTGCTACAGTACCTAGGACTGTGACTCTATACATAATTAACAATCATTCCTGAAAGATCTGTATTTGGCACCAGTTTGTGTTTACCTCAAACACTTGTGGGGAGGATTAATTTCAAATCAAATTTGGTTTTTCAACAGAGGAGCTGCCATCATGAAGCCAATTAGCTGAGTTATTGGTGAAGCTTAAAAACAAAACAAAAAAACCAAAGTCCTTATCTAAACCAACACATTACAGAGAGCTCCAAAACAGAGGTCAAACATTAAAAGGCTGATATAGGCTCAAGTGGTTTATAAAACCTATAAAAAAAGACTACACCAGCAAATATGCCCTTTCAGTCCACACAGTTTAGAAATTAATGCAGGGAGCAACACTCGCTAGCTGGAAATCTTGTCATGGGAGAACCACACATATACCAACTGGAGCACCAAAAATCAAATGTTAAAATGCTCCAATTCCCAGTCCACGTAAAAGGAGAGAGATTCATAGGAAGATTAAATCAATCCATGAAATTATAATTGGTTGGGCAGTTCAGACTTCCCCCAGCAACCACTATCACTCATACACACAGGCTCACATGTACACGGCTCAATCCCATTCAAATTCCTCATGGAATAAAAGGATCCCAGGCTCCATTGAGTCTTTTCCTATCATGCAAGAAATAAGTCTGGCTGTGCTTTAATCACCATCATGTATTACTTCAGCCACAGAGTACCAGGCAGATTAAGTAGAAATGCACTGTTTTTAGCTCATCATCTCTGCAGAAGTGTTTGGGAGGCTCAGTTCCTGGAGAGTTCTGGGTGGGCACACAGTCTCTCTTCATGCAGACTCACTGGCCTCTACTGGCTTAATCATGTGGTCTGGCTTGTTGCCAGCAGCATAGTGATCCCACATCTGAAGATAAAGCCGCTCCAGGTCCATTGTGTACTGCTTGGTGTTGAACAAAGGACTGGATATTCTCTGCTTCCAGACTTTGCCACGGATTTTTTTCAGGCTACAAAAAGAGTTAAAAGCAGTTACAAAAGGTTCCGAACACTTCATAATATTGTTTACTTTGAAAGCTACTCTTTCCAGCTCACCTGGAACTGCACCCCCACTTCCAACAAATTCGTATTTCTGTTTTATCTACTAATCATTCCTAACAAAGATCAGCATGACCACTTCAACTCAGAAAAGCTCCAACATTAACGCATTAACTTGCGGCATTATTTGTACTGCGGTAACTTTTTACAGTGCAATTTTAACTTGCAGAAGTGACAAACTGCTTAACCTTCAATATAAAAGGAACAAAGGTGAACTGTAATTGCACTCTTTACCAGGTAAGAGCCTGAACACAAGCAACTTCTTCAGAACAGACATCAGTGTTGCTCAGTTGGGTGCACTGTTAGATTTACTGTAAAAGCAGAAGCTGACTTAAACTGCAAGACAAGAAACCTCGACAAGGATTGCCTAGCTATTTTAAATATTAAAGTATTTGCAAGATTTAAAACTACCGATGTCTCAGCACTGTGCCCAAATACAGCATCAACATTCTTGATGTTACCACATTACACAATACAAGTTTGCTTACTATTCCAGATCAGTTCCCAGTTTCACAGCAATATCCTCATATTCCTGTCTGCTTTTTGCAATGAGCTCAAGACAACCCAGGCAAGTAAGCTGGGAGGCAGCAACTCGTGATGCAAGAGTCTCGCCTGTTAAAAAAAAGAAAATAAATTGGCAACAGGAATAAGCTTATCAAGTAATGTTGCAAAGTATGAGTTATTTTCCTTCTGCCTCTACAAGATGCAATGAAGTCTGTTGGGCTTGCTGTCTCTTAAAAAAATTTAGTTACATTCAAACCCATCTGTTCTATGCTGGTTCCCCACTGCGTTACCTGGCATAGTGACCATCGGAGTCCCTGCCCAGAGCACATCCATCCCAGTTGTGTGCCCATTGCAAAGCGGAGTGTCTAGACAAACATCAGCCAATTGGCCTCTTCTCACATGTTCTTCTTTGGGGGCAACAGGAGAAAAGATGATTCGGTTTTGGGAAAGACCCAAATTTTGTGCATATTGCTGAATATTGGGTTCTCCTACAGCTGGGAAACGTAGCAGCCACAGCACACTGTTTGGAACTCTTTTTAGGATCTGTACAAAAATAAAGAATCAAATACAGAAAGTTTGGTCAGAAACATTTCCTTTTTTGAACTAGAGATTACCACATAGCAAAATGAAGCAAAAGGCATAATCATTCAAAACTTTAATCTTCTGAGGTATAGAACAGGAAAAAACCATATCACCATTTCAAGTGGAATAAATATGATTTCATTTCTAAACCCACTGAAGGGGACAGCAACCCTGAGCAATAATTCATAGAGCAGTACTTAAGAGAGAAAGCCTTGAAATCTGTGATCCCCTTTAATTATAGGCCCATGCTATGGAGTATAAAAAAAATTATCCCTCAAGTAACTCTCAGCAATAGACTATAAACTGATATTGATACAGACACTCAGTGCTCAGGTCTATCAATCTACCAGCTGCCAAGGCCTCATTTGTGCCAAGACCTCAAGTTATGACTTCATTGTGCAGACCAGATAAGACCAAACTTACTTCACAATGGAGTACCAGCACACTTAAGCTGTTCAAGACATAATTTTTCATTGGCTAGAAGCAAAGATGAGATTTGAAATCAATCTAAAAAATTCCACATTCTGTTAACACTAAGTCCTGCAACATGAGCACTGTAAGGATTCAAACAGCTCAGGGTCAACGTTTTCCACAGAACAGTTACAATTTTAACATGCATGAGGTTTCTGCTAACTCGAACAGAACAGCTGTGTTCCAGAAGTCTAATCTTAGATTTTATCTTAGATACAGATACTCACATTAGCCCACATCTGCAAAGTGGAAGGATCAATCTTATACAGCTGATTGAAGTTACAGTATACAACAGCATCCTCTGGTAAGCCATACTGAGAACGGGTAGTAACAATTATAGTTCGTGGAACTTCTTCACCAGTTGCTGCTTTGTTGTTAATCTAAAGAAAAAAAAAAAAAAAAAGCTATTGGAACACTGAAATTGCAAGAACCAGGACTATGCCCAGTGGAATTATCCTGAGACACGCTGCAACATTTGCTAGCATTGTAAGTTACTGTAAGCATATCTTTGGTTTTACTGTACCAGTTGTCTACTTACCCATAACAAGAATTTGATTGGTATGCCTACACGCTTGTGCATACCACAATGTTGCAACTACCAAGGCACAAAACACGGGGCATTTTCACACCCTTGCTATATCTCCCTGAAATTCTAAGTAACTGGAATAACTGGAAAGAAGAATCATATAAAGAGGCATTACACATAGACTCCTCCCCTCCATAAGGTCACTTAATTTCATTTTTGGTCTCAAGGAAATGAAGACTTCAAGGAAGAATCAAAAAGTATTTAGAAAGCAAATGGGGGTTTATGGTTTGTTTTACTTTGGTTGGTTGGGGTTTGTTCTGTTTAGGTTGGTTGGGTTTTTTAAGATAAAATACAAGAGGCACAGGACAGATAATCAAGACTGAAGATACAGACTAATATTTAACAGACTGGCAAGGAACTAGCTGACAAGGCAATAATGGGAAATGCTGAAAATTGGACTAGAAGAGTTACTAATGGTCTGTCAAAAAAGAATGGATCTTTCAGCCTTCACAAAGAATAGGAATACGTTAAGAAAAAGTGGCAGAGTATGAAGTTGGGATAATCACAATACCATGCAAGAGTCGAGGATTAGTAAAACAAAAGTTTGTGGGTTGGTTTTCTTTTTTTTTAAAATGAGAGGCAACGGTGGGATCAAAGACAGACAAAAACATCAGTACAGACAGAGCAAAACAGGTACTTAGAGCCTTTTTCTTTATTTTTATATATATGTATTTTACATACATATATATTTAAAATTTAAGTTCAGTGGCAGTGCAGCCAGCCAAAATAAGTGTACTATTGACAAACGTGATGTGAATGATGACTCATTGTCATTGACTCCGTTGGAAGATGCATGAGGTAATTTAGTTCAACAAAAGTTGATAAAAGTGCTACTTATCCAGGTCACTGAGGAGACCTCATAAACACAATGCACAGTTCTCGTCAACCTATGCCCAAAAGTAGCTGATATTAAATTAGAACAAGCACAAAGAAGGGTTATATTAGTGTGATCAAGAAACAGAATTCTTGTTTTAAAAAGTGGAGCTTAGATTGTTTCATCTTGCTGGCAGAGACTGCAAACTGAAACACATTCACAAGTCAAGAGTTATGCCAATGTCAAAATACAGTATTTCTGAAAAGAAAAAGTTGTTCTGCAAAGGAAGAAGTAACTGTCACTATCACTAAAATCCCAAGAACTATTAAGCGCTGAGAAGCGGTGGTACAGTGCATACAAAGTTCAGAAAGATGTAAGGAGATGAATAAACATTGTTGAGATACAGCCAAGTAACTTTGCCTGTATTAACCAGCACTATTTTTCTAAAGGAAAAACACAACCAAATCTGGGGAACAGCTCACAAATGCCCTGTAGGCTGTAGGCAATGAGCAAGTCTTGCCTTCAAATTCTGAACAACCAAGTGTCATCTCTACGCAAGATTAAATTTCTTTGGATGTAGATACCTTTTGATATAACCCCTCTATCTTTAAGGGGAAAGATCATCTTCCAGTACAGCTGTGGCTTGTAACCCATGTGTTTCATTCAGTACAAGAACTAAACAAATCAACATGACAGAAGACAGATACTTGTTTGGACGTTTTTCTTCCTTGTTATGTTAAAACATACAAATATAACAGAAAACCCAAGAGAATAGCATCTTGAAGTGCCTCACCTGAGTAGTTGCTAATCCATTACTGATGTTGAATCCATTGATAGTTATCTGGATTTGCCCACGATTAATCATCTCGATCACAGCTTCTGCAATTGTGTTCATAGGAATGACTGGCATACTGAGGGCAGCACTGCCGTCTGCATTGTCACAGCTGTCAGGACACTTCATCTAAGATAAATCACATAAGCATGAGAGACAGTACTGGCTTCAGTCCCTAAGACTGAACACACAAAGGAGTAGCTCTCACCTTAACGATCTTGACATCAGGGAGACTGTCAAGGAAAGCCTTCAAGTCAATGCCATTCAAAACAATTCTGTTATCATAAATATGACCATTGGACTTGAAATCAATGACTGCTTTTTTCTGTTAAAAAAAAAAGTTTAAAAAAGTTACAACATCCCTTACCAAGTACTAAATTAAGTCCCATTTTATAAAGACAGCTATAGAAAACACCTACTTTTCTTGCCCTATCTTCCTACATACCTTCAGATGGGGGAACATGTTGGCGTGGTCTCCAATAAAGAAAGTGTTTGGCATGTAAGCTAATTTCTCTGAATATTGCTCAGCCACCTCAACTGGGGAAGTTTCTTTATCTGTGATGATATAATCCATGAACAATGCCCCACTGGTTCCAGGATAACCTAGCCACATTGCCTAAAAAACAAGAAAGCAAGGCTCCAGTCCCAGGTGCATTGCAAAAATAAAGGAAGCTGAAAATCAACACAGTTAAAGTTACATTTTCCACAGATTCTTGTTCCTTCTTGTGCTTTAACTGAAGAAGAACACCTCTAACCCCAAGTTTTCACTACTGAGACAGAGAACAGTTCAAGGATGTTCTGAAATTGATCCTTCAAGCAAAAGGCCAAAGTATCTGACTACGTGCAGCTATAGCCCAAATACACCTTCCCTTAGCTGAGATAACTGCCATAGCCTAGAGTCACTCTGATTCAGGCCTCTCCCATTCTCCTTCCACAGCCATTTTAGAAAAATCCTTAGTCAGAACAGTAACTGCCATTGATTCTGATTTATTCTAACTAGAATTTCACTAAGCCTGAAGAGATTAAAACCCAACAATCCATTTCCACAACTGCTTCAGATACCCCTTCTTTGTTCTCACTAATGCAAGAAAGCCAGTGGTGTACAAGAACCTCATAGAATTAAGGAGTTCTCTTTCAGGACACAGTCAACTGCCCATAAAGCACACAAAAAAACCCCAAGCTAATCTGCTTCATCAGAATGATCCTATTTGTCTCATATACATTAAGTCCTAAAAAAGTCTCTCTCACCGACCAACATGAACCTTCAATGTTTCTCCCACTCTGCCAGAAATTATTCCTACTCAACAGCGGTTTCTTGGAGATACAAAGCCCTCTAACTCAATTACCTGAATAGGTGCTGGTCTCAGGGCAAATAACTCATTTCGGGCTCCTTTGGTGTAACCATTCATATTAATGAGAATGTGTATCCCATCCTGATGGATGCGGTCTGCTGCTTTTCCATTACATGGTATCTGAAGAATAAATACATACATAAATAAATGTTATTTTTGTTTTCAGTCTTTCAGTAATAAATGTGGTTAGTCATCAGTGTACCAGTGAATAAATGTCAGCTGCATAATTTTATTTAGGTGAGACTTAAATCTCATTACTCCTGGTTTTACAGAAGTGTAAGTCCTCAACTCAATCAAAAAACTACCTGTTGAAGCCAAGAAAAATGTAAGTTTTCTAGACACATTTGAAGCAGTTGCTAACAAAAATTTTGACTGTGGTACTTAATATTGCCTCAACACACTCAAATCAGAGGAGTGATACCTAGTGTTGCCAAGCCTAGCAAGACATGCAGAAAAATATCACAAATGGACCACAGAAGAAACTTCAAGCAACACTGAAACTGCTTCAGTTCTTGGCCAAATCAAAACCAAAAACAGAGCAGAACTTCACACAAAGTATTACCAATGACTTTCAAGAAGAACAGCAAAGCCTTGGAAAATTACCTCCTGTCAGATACTGAAAGGTAAACAATTTTCAACAGTTTTAGATTCCTCCAAGAATTAATTATACAATTAGTCATTACCTACAAGCGCATAAAAGGAAGTATTTGATAGATGTCTCTAGTTCAGTAGCAGTAAAACAAAAAACAAAGGCTAGAAACAGAGACTGTAAAAACCAGAACAGCCCCACGACCATCACTCCATTAAAGCTAATTACTAATGATCAAAGCTCATGTAGGGCAAGTGGTAGATTCCCCATTAATCACTAAGCCTCTGTCCTGCTTCACTGGAGTAAAGCAAGCTTGAATATATTTGTAGTTGTGGCATCCTGACTTATCTGTGCCATTTAGATGACCTAATGGAACAGTTATTCAATACTGCTAATATTACTTTTTAATAATCACACAGGTTGTGCACTAACCACTGCATCCCAGATAAGGCGTAACACCAATACATCTACAAACTCCAGGATTCTCAAGACTAACATCAGCCTGAGTCACGAAATAATTGCAACTGAAAATCTCAAACTACAGGCTGATCTCTGTATTCATTTAGGTCTGCCAAGGTCAATGCATCAAAAAAGCTCACCTGAGATAAGTCAATGAAATGATTTGCTTCAGCCATCACTTTTACACGGAAGTTTGTACCATCATCAGGACTCAGGGCATAACAGAATACCTAGAATACGAGGCAGCAAAAATTGAGTATCTGCAATAACTTGCCAGCAAAGTAATTTTGCTATAAAACACATAGTATTGCAATTTTAAAGTACATTACCAAAATTACATCTAGTTTCATATAAATTATATTTATTTCTGTGGCATTTATCAGTTGAGAAAGAAATCCAAAACCAGGGGGCATTGGGAATTTGACACATTTGCACCAGGCCCCAGTTTGACCCAGTCCTGGTATTAGAGCATGGCACTGCATCTCGCCTAGACATATATACAACGTTCTCATCAGTGCAGGGTAAAGGAATTTTAACAAATGGATTTGCGTAAGCATTAAATTCTTCAAGAACACCTCTTAAAAGGCACCTTTGAATTTGTAATTAGTAAGAATCATAATTATGACTCAGGTTGAACAGATAAGCCTTGGGGAAGCTTTTTAACAGAAACAGTGACTAGTTCTCTCCAATTAAGGAGCTGCAAATGTGTGAGAAACTCAGGCTTGACAGGCACCTATATCTAACCCCTAGCACATACAGATACAGAATCAATATGCAGATAATTTATTATCTTGCAGGACAAAAGCATGGTTTTAGTAAAGCAATAGATAACTTTACTTCATACATAAATTAAGCTCTAGAGCTTTATAAATCCAGAGTAAGAAAGACTGCCCTTTCTTGAGCTGATTCGAGGTTAACAGGTATATTCCCCTCATACCCCATGTACTCAGACCACCAATTTAATTGTTTCATTAAAAAAAACCTGTTTCAAAGTCACAGTTCTGGTAACAATTCAAGCATGCAGCTTTGTCACAAGAACTCTTCAGACTACAAAGACTTCATGATGAGGAAAAAGCAAGAAGGTAGGGGAAAAAAGCCCAAAATCAAAACAAACCAACCAAAAGAAGGTTAATAAAAAACAGTTTTGCCAGAAGGAAAGACTTACAAACCCTTTACAAAGATAAACAAATTCTCACGTCTTGGAAGACAGGAGCTCAAAACCAGGGCAATTTAAACAGTCATAGGACAAGCCACGTAATTGGGAATTAGTTCTATTTACAGCCTCAATCCCTTAACATGATACCCAAATAAATATAGATGTGACTGTCGTTAGCATTGCTAAGTTGTACACACTCCTTCTGGAGTAAGTGTAGCATATTATTTCCCTTTGAAAAAAGAGTAGCCAGACCAATCTGAAGTTCATGTTTGTGATTCAGGAGTCCCAGAGAAAGATACTTGCAAAAAACCCAGCAGCAAATCATGAAAAAAACAGATGCGTATCCATAAATCAGAAATAACCAGGCAGTAGTAGCTTGATGTTGAAACGTATCTACTCAAAGAACAGAAGCTGAAGCTTAAAAAATGTTTTCCAAGGGCCACAAATCCTACCTGCAGTAATTCTAAGGACAGGTATCTGATTTGCCTACCTTCTCAGTAACACTTCATACTGGTAAAGGAGGATGACTCAGGATGGAGAACTCTTCAACCTTCTAAAAAAAAGCCCTCTAACAAAAAAAAAACCCCAACACCCTAAAACCTAAATTTTGCCCTTTCCCTAGCCTACCTGCCTGTACCAAGAAAAAGAAAGTGCCACTTACAGCTGTATTTAAAGCTTTAAGCATGTCATTTTGTATTTTTACCTCAAATTTGTCTGGGTTATGCATGCCTGGGATTGACTGCATTAGGTGTGAGGTTGGATGGTTTCCAAAATCAGAGCTCACATAGCCAATACGAAGTCGACCTTCACTGGCCTTTAAATCCTTGGGATGCTCATATGGTGGCTTATGAAGAACATTAATCTGTCAAGAAAACATATACAACTGTTTATAAGCTCAGGAACCAAAACCAATACTAAAGAGAGGGACAGAAGAAACCCATGAGTCTGTAGAATTAGCTTTATCCCACATTCAAGAGGTCTGTGGGCGTTTGTTGTTTCAAACCTGTGTTGTATGTATTCCATTGGACCCAAGTGCTATGTCCACAAACTGTGTTACGAGATGTCACATACCTACATTCAGCCAAGTAATCACAGACTCACTACTGCAAGTTGACATTTCTGCTTTTCTACCAGTTTATTTTTGAAGTATTTCACCCCTGATTATTAAATATACTGATACCACGCCACTATGACCAGGAAATTCTCAAACTACAAGCCACTTGTGACCTGAACAGTATTCCTGTGAAGCACCACAGCATGCTTTCTGTTCTTATGCTCACTATCTTCCCCAGACATCAGCTTTAGCCACTATCACTGACAGGATTATCAGGCTCTTGAGACAAGCCAGTTGGAAAACTAAGTGTTATCTTCTGAAGTTTAAGATCTTTACATTAGCCAATCCGACCCTTCCACTGACTGACAGCATATTTCCAGTTCTAACTGGCAATCATTCAAGTAGTCTGTCTCAACATTCACAAGTGCAACAGCTATGACTCTCTGGTTGCAGAGAAAAAGAAGTTGCATCAATATTTTAAAAATTTGCCATCAACTGCAACTGCATTCTTGGCAGCTTGGGGTGCTGTGCAGTCTTGTGGAAATGGCATACGGTTAAGTAATTACAGCACGAGAAGATAGGTTTTGGGGAGAATCTACTTCAATGTACACAAAATACTCCAAACCAGAATCACAACGAATACTCAAGTACTTCCTATTGTGATGCATCATCCCTGTAACACTGCTGCTGTCACCAGTGAAACGACTACATTTGGAAATCCCAGAGCCAATCAAACCCAAAGCTCACACATTGCAGCATGGATTCACTAGAGACAAGAATCAGGTTCAGGATGCTGGAAAGGACCAGATTTTGAGAACTACTATCACACAACTGCCTGAATCTGTTTTACTGCCAGTAAGAATGATTTACTCACTCTGCTCTTCCAAAACGCCCCTTGTATATACTTTGCAAAACTAGACGAGTAACACCATGTCCTATTTTCTACAGGTCAGTAACTCTGAAACCTTACAAAGGCTAATACTATGTATTAGATTTTCAGTAGGAACAGGCAAAACCACAAAGGACTTCAATCACAACTGGCCTGTATAAAGCTTCCTACCTTGTCCAAACACAGATTTCCATGTCTCTCAGCAATAGCCTTCCTAAAACTGTGAGAAAGGGGATACAGCATGCTATGATGCGGGTGGACAGAAGGCAGTCTGTTTTTCTCCAGCTGATCAGCTACAATGCTAACCAGCTTCTTCATTCTTTCATCATAGTCTGTCCAGTCACAGACAATCTAGAAGAGGGAAAAATTAAAAGAACATTAGGACAACAGCATCCTTTGATCTGTATCAGATATTTCACAAGTTGAGACTAATGCTTCTTCCAAAAATGAAAGTGGTAACTTCAGTAATTACTTGTCAATGACTGTATAATCTTATTTTCTGTTTTAAGGCTTAAGTCTACTCTTTACATTTAAATTAGCAATTGGTTGAGATGATCAGGCCTAGCATTTTCTGCAGAGGAATCTTAAGAATTACAATCAAAGTCTCATCTTCCTCACCTGCAAACAGTGGGCCAAATTGCAGTAGGCATCTGGGAAATCAGGTTTCAGTTTCAGAGCAGTGCGGTAAGAGGCAATGGCTTCTGGTATATTCCCTGAATCCTGTAAAGACACAGAAATGAGTCAGCAAGATAAAAATATACTCAGGGTAAGTACTCACAGTGCCCCACCATACTCTAGGAGTGAATCATTCGCATGTGCTACCTTGTGAATAGAGGCCAGGTTGCTGTGGGCATCAGCAAAAGCTGGGTTTATCTGAATGGCACGAGTGTAGCACTGCAGAGCTCCTTGCACATCCTGCATCTCCTTCAAAGTATTTCCCATATTAGAATAAGCATCTGCAAATGTGGGGCTGATTCTGAGAAATAAAGATACTATATGTCATGAACAAGAAAAGCTCCTCCTCCAGTGAGAAACCATCCCCATCCCGACTTTTGGGTTTGCAAAGCAACTATGTGAATTATAATATGCTATTGTAAGTCACTTTCTGTGCAAATCTATGGCACCTTCCTGTTACGAAAGGCTGGCACTATTACAGATAGTAATCATTTACCTAATAGCCTCTTTGTAATGCATCAGAGCTTCCTGTAACTTTCCTTGCTGTTGCAGAACACTTGCTAAATTTGAATGCGCAGCAGCAAACTCTGGAAACACCTGGGAGAAAAAGAAACAGAATTTGTCTCTCAAATGCCTCAAATAGACCACATGAAAAATAAAACACCTGTGCACTTCTCTTACTCTTCTTTTTACATGACTCGTGCCTCTGAGCAGACCCTCTCCACTTATGACTGAAGAGGGAGAAGACTTGTGTCGTATTACACATTTCCCAATTTTATTTTCCCACCTTTCCCTCAGCACATTCAACTGTACCTCAAGAGCCTTCCGATAAAGACGGACAGCTTCCTCAATATTCCCCTGCTCCCGTTTGATGTTTGCTAGATTATTGAGAGAATCTGCGTGAGTGGGACAAAGTCGAAGAGCTGTATTGTAGCATTCTTCTGCTTCTACCACCTTCAAAAAAAGGGATACTGTTAATACGGTGATATTTGTTGTAACAGCACTGTTTATGAGAAGTCACTATACCCACCATTTTAAGTTTCAAGGTAAGAATTTCCTAAATTATTTGTCCTTATGACTAAGTAAATGAGGGTAACAGCCCATCTTAATAAAGTTGGTGACAGCTTGTGTCTAAAATAAACATTCACTCTACTTTTAAAAAATTTTTAAGGAAATAAAGTACTCCTTACACTGCCCTTCTCCTTCAAGGCGTTGGCCAAGTTACAGTAGGCGTCAGGGAAGTGGGGCTGTAGTTCAATAGCCCTCCTGTAGGTGTCTATTGCTAGGTCTATTAGTCCTTGCTCGTAATACACACAGGCAAGGTTGCCGTGCACAACTGCGTGATTTGGACTCAAACTCAAGGCCCGTAGATAAGCTGCTACAGCTCTGTAACAAGAAAAAGAGGTGAACAATCATCCACAGAGTGGCAACTATATTTACCTGGGTCATAAAAACAACCTTCAAGGGATATTATTAACACACACAAATTTGTCCTGTAAAATGCTACTGAAAACACAAAAGAATACTGCCTGAAATAAAAAAACAATCAAGGGATGAATTATTATTAATCATGTTATTTTAAAACCATGCTGTATTCTGTAATGACTAGCAGACTAGAAGTAGTACCTTGTAAAATAGGAATGTTTTCCTCCCACCTGATGCTGTATAGCGAACAACTAAGTCTTCTGGAAAAAAAGCAAAGCTTTTGTCTACTTTATTTAAACACTCTTCATTACCAGGACAAGCACAACACTTCTGCCCCATTCTTCTTCCAGTTTATTATTCAATTGTCATGATATAAACAGTATCATGTCTTTATTCTCTCTGTTAACCTAACACATGCATCATGCTTTACTAAATTACATGCTCCTATTGCATGATATAAATGACTGATGTATTCAAATATGATTTCTAGAAAAATCACAACAGTATACTTAAGTAAATTCTCAAAAAGGTGATGTAAAGTCTAAAATGATGAGGAAACATGCCCCTGTTTGGACCATTAATTCATGGTTAAAACAGAAATCACTGAACAATTTACACTGTGTTGTGCAACTACTTACAATAATTAACGTGTTCCCTGCAAGCTTTTATTAAATTCAGAGCCACAAACTACAGCTATCAGAAATTATAATCCAATTAAAAGATGCAATATGGTACATTGCATATAAACAACATAGCCTGGATGTTCTTCCAGAAACAAAAGATTCATGTATCAGACTAGAGGTCTCAAAACCAAGTTATTTCAAAGAGAGCACCAGTACTGCAACCCCATGAAATAATATTATGCTGGCACATAATTAACACAGAATATTCAATCAAACTTAGCTGAATTTCAGCATTTCAGCTTGTCTCACACAGAAGGAAAATTTTAGAAGAGACACAGTTGTAGTTCACATCCCAAATCACATAATGAAAACAGAGAAGTCAAGGGTTCATGCCTTTCTTGGACATCTTACCTTCATCCATCAGCCTTAATTTCAAATCTATTTTTGTCAATACTTTCAGAAACCCTCATTTTTAACATTTTATTAAGTACAGGAAGGTAACATAAAGGAATACATTCCACAGGATTTTTTTAAAGTTTTATTCCAGTAATCTGCTCTGTATGCATTTCCAAGTCATTTGCTTGCTCAGCCTACAGAAGTCTTTGCTATAGTGTACAAAAAGATTTTGTACCAGGAACCTGATTTGTATCTTGATACATCTGACAGGCCACCGACAGAGCAACAGCACTGATCTGCTCACCTGTCAAATATCCGCGCCTCCTTCAGGACATTTCCCAGATTGATGTATGCATCCAAAAAATTTGGGTCAAGTGTTACAGCCTGAAAATATTTTTGAAGTAAGTTTTGAGCATGAATACAGACACATTCACTACAAAACTTAGTTGGTTTTCTTGTTCTGGTGTTTAAAAAAAAAAAGAAAATTGACAAATCCATTCCGTAAACATCTAAGACTTCATCAATAAGCTAATAAGGAAGGAAAACAAGTTATATAAATCACAGAGCATCAGTTAGTTATCTTTAGAAACGACAGCATACACTACCTTCAAATTTATTCGTTTGCTTACCTAGTAGTTGCAACTACTGCAGAATAAAGTGTTAAACATGTTACTCTGATCATACTTAACACTCCTGCCTACACATGCTATGTTGCCTTTCATTTGTTTTTAAGGGGAGAAAAACCCTAAAAAACCTGATCCATATCCTTCATCTACTGCAAAGCAACAGAGCATTTAAAAACTTTAGCAGCCCAGGGAAATAAGGATGACTTGAAAAGAGCGAGAAAAGAGCAAATACATCGTGTGTAGGAAAACTCAGTAGTCATTTAACTAAAAGAAAACATTTTCCCTCCCTTCAAAACTAATAAAATGCAAAAAACTTAAGAACCAATAAATTTACAGAAGATGCAGTAATAAGCAACATCTGAATATCTGAGAGGCCATATTCTTACAGTTTTTCTCATGGGATTTCCAAATTAAAATACTTTAGAATCTATCACTAACTAGACACAAATCCAAAAAAAAAAAAAAAATCCAAAGCAGTTATAATTAGTTTTGTAGATCTTAAGTCAAAAATACCAGGAAGAAACCGCCCACCACATCTTAAATCTTCTTAGGTCATTTTAGATACTTAAGAGATTTGTACAAATCTCTTAAGATGCTAACTAGATACTAACTAGAAGGTATCAGACAACTAGTTAATGACATTAATCTAGAGAAGTCTGAAACAGCAGTGGCAAAAAATAATCCTGGAGAAGAGGAATTAGTGTGTCCTTTAAAACTGTTCTCCTTACTCAAAGAACAGTAATACCGAAATAAAATCACAATGAAAAATTATTTTATGCAGGAAGCTGTTTCTCCCTCTCACACACAATACATTATTCTCATCAAATTAGACTTTTAAAAAAATTATTCCAGAAAAGGTGTTTAAAACAACTTAATAAATTTTCTTACATTTGACATGTATGTCCTTAGAGCAATTCTAAACATATCTCCCTAGTGGCATACAGGCAGTCTGAAACATCAGAAAGTTTAAAAAAAAAAAACAACAAAAAACCACAACAACCCAAACTATTAATATAGGATGTTAACTAACAGGATCCTAAAAAGTTCTATGCTGATCAAAATATTTCTATCACCTACAAGCAGCCAACTGCATGTGCATTAAAATCTAGCAGAGAAACTGGCTCAGATAGTTACCTTTTCAAAGTGATGAATTGCAAGCCAAATTTCTCCTTGGGCATTGAACACACAGCCAAGATTACTCCAAGCCACTGCAAAGTTTGGTTGAGTCTCAATTGCTTTTAAGTAACAGGCCTTGGAACAGTTAAAGAAGAGAGATACAAGGGAAGGGGAATATTTGTAAAAAGAAAAAAAAAAAGAGAAAAAAAATTGTTAGTATGCCTTCTCTAACCAGCCAAAAGTGACCCTGCAGTATAGGCTAGCTTGCGCCAAAACTAATGCGCTGCAAACTGTTGTTGATCCTGCGCCAGCGCAAACCAAAACCCAGGTGCAAGCCCACCATTCTTCAGTTATGCTGATAAGAAATTAACATGCCCTCGGACCAGGTCACCACAGAAATCACCTTAGAAATAGAATTCAAGTAGTTCAACAAAAATACCTGTTGCCTTGAAGTGCATAAAACCAAAAAAATGACTGTGTAAAGACAACTTCACTGTGAAATAAGGTTATTAAATCGTGAAATCTTCTAAAACAGATAGAAATTACTTGGAAAAAAATTAGAAAAACTACTGAAAAAGATGAAGCCCTTCTTCGGTTTTAATGGTCCTCGTCAAGTGAGATGACACACCCAGTTCCCCAGTCTCTTCCAATACAATCTGCAGCTTCGAAACCTCAAATGACAGGATTGCATGAAGGTTTAGGTCCCTGTAATGCAAGCGCAAGAAATCGCTGCGCATCCTAAACAGCACGGCGCCACGCTATCGCTGCGAACTGCTTTGCTATATTGATTGCCCCTAGATCAGTGAACGGCCAACCAGAATCATTAATCTACCAGACAGGCCCATACAGAAACTCGCATATTAAATTTGATGTCTGGACTCTAAATGTGTTACAACCCAAATTTTATCCAAAAGGCTACAGCCTGGAGCTTGGGCAGTCACCCAATCAGAGATTAATCATCTAATCAACCGTTCACGAGGGCTTAATCGCACGCAATGCGCGTTACCGCTGCGCAGCCTTTGCGCTACTGCAGGATCACAGCGCATCATCAGAAGAGCAGAACGCTGCAATCCAAACAAAGAAGAAAAAAGGAAAAAAATGAACAACCAGAAGAGTTAGAAGCTTTTACTATTAACTATCTCCAATTATTTCTTTAAAAAAATATTTTAATTTACTTTTACTTTATTTCTTTGAAAGAATTTGTGGCTACTAGTATAAAATATTCTTACATTACTTGCTTGTAATTAAATATTTTAAGCTGTTTCTGAAGCCACAAGACAGAAGATTCAGGCATGGAGGCAAATGGTTTTGCTGTGGCAGTTACAAACCCGTTACCATATTTCTCATCATGTGACTTTTCGGTGCGTTCCTTGCTGGAAGAGGAGGAGGAGGTGTGTGTCTGCCCTAGATCCAGGCCTCGAGCTCCCTTCAGCGAGGCACCTTACGCATGGAATAGGAGGTTTCACCCACCTGAAACCTTCTAAATACAATATCAGTGGTGAAAAACCAAAAACAAGAGAGAAAATAAAACAAGATCATTAGTAAGAGTTCAACAAAGCAATTGCATTTTTTTGGATATGTCTTAACACATGGGAATGAGGACAATCTGTCTGTAACAAGGGAGACATGCAGAAGGGAGAGGGTTAATCAGGGCAATTGCATACAGCAGGGACTTTTTTTTTTGGAAGAAAGGCTCTGAAATATCTACAAAGAAATTAAATTTTAGTTCAAACTGTAAGGAATCTGCTGGCTTGATCTTTCAAATGGACTGATAACCAAAGAAACACATTGCAATTTACTCAAGATGTTTTTCCTCATTTATTAAGTTCTCACAAAACGGAATAACACTTTCAAACTAGGTGTCTCCAGAGCTCTGAAACAAAGAAGTCAGCAACCTAAGGCAGGCGCAGTGTCTTGGCCTATACCAGTCACACTAAAGCTGCAGTGAAGTGCAATTCATGTTAGCTGTCCGCTTGGTGGGCTGAGAACCAAGTGTCTCAAAGACTGTTCAAACTCTAAATGCTGCTACAAAATACTTTCAACCTGGATCTGACCAAATCAATCAGGCTGCCCTAGGATGGTACGCACATCCAAGTTGTTAAGAGAAATCAAAAAAATAATGAACTTTGAACCTGCGCTCCCACAACCCCGTAAAGATTGTAACCCTCCCCAAATGGTGCTGCAGCCAAACAGACAGCTACGCTGTTCATACACTCCACTTTTTAGCATGCGCGTGGGGCTTGGAGTGACAGACGTGGAGTCCAGAGTGTTTCCGATTTCTCCACACTCCTCACCCCTGCAGCGCGGACGCGTAAGGTGGCTTGTAACAAGACAATTTCTTTGTGAAATCCAACTTTTAACACGCCAAGAATTTTAAACTCATCTTGGTGTTCGAATTCTCAGTTTAGGAAACACAAGACTGCTAGAAGCCACCTTTCCACTACAGCAAGTTTTCTTTCGATCAGTTCATTTCCCAAACAAACCAGCTTTGTCCTTCCGATTTCTTTATTTTGGGGGAGGGGAGAGGGAAGACATGAAGAAAAGATATTCGGGGGGTTCGCATACTGCAGCATTTACTAGCCTTTCTTCCACTATCAAGGGAAGGGAAAAGTTAAAAAGAATAAAAATCTTTAAAAGCCCATATTACAAGGTAACATTTGGGTAAGTTTCTTCTCCACTTACAAGCCACAAAGGACTTTAGAAGAGCAGCGTTTTCAATAGCACCTGCATCGTACAGTGATCTCGATCTAACCACAGGCTCTCTGCTTGGCACCAGCAGGCAAGCCTCAGATTTGAAGGACTGTTACTTATTTCCAGATAAGAGCATGATGGAGCCCCTGCCCAATACTTCAGAATGGTATCAGATAGTCTAGTTCAGCGGAAAGGCTCGGTAATGTTCCGTTTCTTGACTTAAACCATCTTTTAAACATGGACATGCCATATCTTGCCCTGCAACTACTCTGGGGTGTTTTCAGTGCCTTCAGTTTTCAGCAGTTTTTCAGACTGTCTGTAGATCAACGCAGATTTGAAGACTTGGTGCAAAGTTCAATTTTTCAAAACACTGACGTTTACATGTATTCTACCCAACACCTACCTTGGCTTCTTCCAAGCGACCCAGGGCTTTGAGCAGGTTCCCCAGGTCACTACGAACACAGTACAAGTCCTGAAAAACCAAAGTCACACCATCAGCTTTGAGACTTCAGACACCCCAAAGGTCTTCACAGAGAACTTGCAAAGGAACACCCCAGTCTCTCTATAGCTTATTTTATATTCTTAATAAATACATCACAAATGTAAATTATTTTTCTTGACCTAACAATACAGCTGACAATCTTACCAATTTCAGTACTGTAAAAACAAAATCATAAAGAAGTAGAAAAAAAAAAATTTTTTTCACACAATTACTCTTTATACAGAAAACCAAAACGAACTGTCCCCTACCAAGCTTAAGTTCTTTTGCCACGCATAACCATTTGAAGCCCCCCCCCCCTTTTTTTTTAAAGCATGACTGTAAATTTGTATTCTTAAAGTGCACAATGGCTGTTATGGCTTTTAAATAAATTATATAATGGATTTTGCTTCCTGTATCTCCAAAACTGTTTTTCTCCCTGTTTTTCCCACTAATTCATCTATTTTCAACAGCGTTGCCACATGTTCTTGTTCTTTAATTTGTAACCACAGCACAATCTGCAACTGCATTATCTAGCAGTAAAGACCACAGAGAACAGGGACATTTTTGACAATGCTAACAAAAGAAGTTTCCAGCTTAAACAAAACTGCAGTCCTGTAAGAAAACACCATCTTACAGTATTTCTAACCAGTGCACAAACTCCACTAGTGACACCACTTAGCATAGTAAGTTAGACAAGTTCATCTAGGCTGAAGAACAGAATTAAACAAGATTCTGAGTTCCTGATGAACTGGGTTCACATTTGCTTTTCCAAAGGAAAAAGGACATATGCACACCAGACTGATGCTGCATCTGAAGTATTTTTTGACAAAACATATGACCAAACAGCAAACAGATACTTTCATCATGCTGACTAATACTATACAAATTATTTGAGTACAATGCAAAATAAACAGAAGATAGCAGTCTAAGACACTGTTTACTAAAAACATCAACTCAAAACAACTACAACCAAAGTCCAAATACTGGATCTATTTTATAGGAGTCACTTACAGACACTCAGTTTCAGCCTATAAAACAAAAATGATGCTTCTGTAAACCAGTCCACAGTGGAAATCTAACCAAGGCAACTCTCATGACATTTCCGACTTCAGAGGGGAAAAAAAAACCAAAACAAACCACAAAACCAATTCCTTGCTTTTGTTATTTCAACAATACAGATAAGTACACAATCAGCAGCCCTTACTGTATTGCAATATAAAACTTTCTGTGACAGAAGTCTTTCAAAGATCCTTAAGAAAAGTATTAAGTAGATCTTTAAGTTTATAATGTACAGCTTAGAGGGAAGGGTTATCATTTGTTCATTCTTTGAAACCTGTTATTTGTCCTGGGGAAACCTGTCCTGGGACAGTAGTAAAGTATGGAGTTCTTCTAGAAAATAGTGTTACTTACAGGGTTGTACTGAAGGGCAGACACATAAGCCTGTACTGCTCCTTCCATATCACCTGCAGCTACCAGCGCAGCAGCCAAATTAATATATCCATCAATGAAATCTGGTTTGAGGCGTAGTGCATGTCTATAATGTTCAATAGCTTCTTGGAGCTGTCCACGTTCCTTGTACACATTGCCTAGATTCGAGTAAGCTTCGGCCAACAGTGGATTCTGTTTAATAGCCAAAGTGCTGAAGTGAGCAGACCTGGAGAAAATTAAGATAAGTTAGCTAAAAAACAAAACGAACCACTCTTGACTTTTACTGTTTGCCTGTTTACCTAGTTACCTAATGAACAGTCATGCTTAAGCAAGCCAAACATACAGCCAATAAATGTGGACTTAGAGCTGCCTTGTATGTTTAGCTTCTCCTAGTTTAAATTATCATTTCTCCTGTTCCTGTTTTACATTCTACTGAAGAAAGACAACTCTCATTTACGATCAGCAGGGTTCAAATCACCTCACCAAATCTGAACTCAATGCACTTGCAGAAAGCACTACAGAAATCCTGTGAAGCCTCTTCCAACATTCGTATGCTTTAAGCAATATTCCACTTGATACTCTTTTCAAGAAGCAGGACATAGCTGACAGACGAAGATGTAAAATTCTGTTGTATCCTCCCCCATTTTATTTTCCTGTAGCAGAACTGTTATTACAACTTCACTGAGAAGCCTATATAAAATAAATCTCAGTGAAAAGTTCTTACTTCCTTCATCAGCACATGCAGATTTACACCTAGAACAAGTTCAAAATGCTTGAGGCACAGAAAGCAAGATCAGGAACAGGCAAGCAGAATGAAGTGAGATGCAAGTTTCAGATGATAAAACTCCTTAATTAATCAGGCTGTTTTGCAGCAGTGTTGCAACTTAAAAAAAAAAAAAATCAAAACCAAACCACAAACCTCCACACTGCAGGTGGAATAAAGAAAAACTTTTGTTTACACATGCAAATACCGCCAATACACACAGGTGCACTGGACACTCCAACATGAATGTGTACAACATGAAAATAACATGAGAATAATTGTATTATCTGTTTTTGTTGCAAAGCTCTCGATTCTGATTTGTATTTCTTTTACCCTAAGAAAATTCAAAAAGGATAAACATTATCTTGACTAGTCCTTACCAGTGCCATGAAGTTAGTGAGTATTTGCATTCAGTGATTAAAAAAAGAAATCAGTGCTAGAATAGAACTTTTGTCAGCTATGCTCAGTACTGTTAAGAGGTGCAAGCTATAAAGCAAGCTTAACAGAACACATCAAGTCTCGTACCTGTCCAACCTGCGACACTGGAAGTGAATGGACGATAGTAATAAAAGCACACCAGTATTATCAGGCTCTTGTCTCCAAAGCTGCATGCAGTGTCTCTCTGCTGCTTCAAAGTCTCCTGCCTGATATTCACGATGAGCCAACTCCGCTAACCCTTGGAAGGAAAGCATACGTTTCGTTGGTTCTGGAGAATCACCAAAACATTTAAGGGGGGAAAACAAAAAGTTAGATAATGGGAACAAAACAAAAAACAAAACAAAACAATGTGAAAAAAAAGTGTACACAACTGAAGGATGAAAATGTTTGACATTACATAAAACACTGCAGCATGTGGCAGTTTGAACTCTTTATGCCCCACTCTATTACTACGATATTTCTAACATTATCTGTACAAGTCCGTGACTTCATTAGCTAATACTAGGAAACATGCAGACTGTAATGACTGTGAATATTTGCAAGTCAATTGTTTTCCATTAACTTGAAGCATATTGAGACTCCTGACATGAAACTGAACTTCAGTTTGTAACAACAGAAATGCTGGTAGCAGAACAATGACTCCTCACTCTCCCCTCAGACTGTAAATCTTCTGCTTTGCAATATTAAAAAAAAGCTCTAAAAACTTAATAGGGAAATGCAGAACAGCAGACAAAGACTTCAAAGGACTTGAACAAAATAAAGTTTTGCTGTGCCAGTAGTGAAAGTCCATTAAAATTAAAAAAAAAAAAAAAAAAAAAAGAGCAGTGTAATATTCCTTGAATCCTCTATACTCCCTATACTCCTACACTTCATAATGAGTAAAAATTCCTTCACAGAAAAAAATATTGGCCTTGGAACAGGATCTGATGAGAGACAAACACACACTTCAATGATTACGCAACTGGCCCACAGATGGAACCATTAAACAGACAGGGTACACGAAAGGAGTTACTACTTCTGGAGGCTTAGCTGGAATAGGAGTGACAAGTGTGGAGAACAAAATACTTAAATAAAATACCACCTGTTTTAGACAAAGCATCTTAAGTGTGAAAAGTAAATAAAATTTCTTACAAAGCACAGTTCTGTATTAAATATAGACAAGTACAGCTTGGAAAAATCCACAACCATTCAACCTAGAAGGAAGTGTTGGCCTTCACATTGTGCCTTTATACCAATAACTCTTACTATTAGAAGGTTTGATTACTGCATGTATCTCATTTTTCTTCCTGAAGTCCAGTATTTCCAGTACTCAGCAGTAAAATACATTGGTGAAACACTTCCCATTTGGACCTACAGTTTCATTTAAGTGAAACAGATAAATCCTTCCTAATACAAAGAAGCACCTCAATATCTGAGTACACAGGTTTTTTGCAGTTAGGTGCTACAAAAATCCTCTGAGACTCTTTAATTCTTTTGTGAGAACGTTAAAGATAGGAAAATAATCACAAAAAGATTAGGTACAGAGTTACTAGTGTTTATTTTATGAAATTGGGATTGATGTAAATTAACTACTTTGAAAATTGCTTTTTAAGCACTAGCTAGGTTTTGAAGAGGTGATTGCAAACACTACATGATGTAACTAAAGTTGTTTTTCCAGATAGTATATTGTCTCTGTCAGTGCTGAAAACTTTAACTGTTTCACAGTAAATTAGAACTAGTGAAGCTATTTTTCTGACACTTGACAAATAACTAATCAAGTATCTTCATCCAGATTAGATACCTGTTTTCTAGGATCCTATCTTAACAGTTTTCCAAACTCTGAGTAAGGGGAAAAGTGGACTTCAGTATCTGGTTAAATGTACTGGCAGTAAACAGCTACAACTGTTCCTCAACATGAGAATGACAGCACCGTTTATGAAAGTCCAAGGTGCTGACAGGAATAATGACACTGGAGTACCAACATGCTGTTCCTCGCTCCCTCCCTTGTGCCATTAACAGCTACACAGGTTTAGCCCCTCTGGCAGTCAGTGTATTTTCAAGTCCTACTGGTGGCACAAACATAGGGAAGGGGGATAGAAGAGCATGTCCCATGGACCTGGGTAATTTATTCTTCAAATAAATTTCAATGGTGTTATTAGATTTCAAAACTAAAGGAAAAAAAAACACCAACAAAAGTTCAGATTTAAATTCTTATGATCACTTAGAAAAAAAGCTTCCAACCATTATCTAAATTCTACATTTTGCTTATTTAAGCAAGAAGTGAAACTGAAGTTGCAACTCTCAGGTCAAGACAGAAGGCAGTGCAGAAATACTGTATTTAACACGTGGGAATAAGAATTTCTGAAAGCAACAAAATAAGCGAAGCACTAAGATTTTCTTTAATTTATCAAGTCTCTTCACAAAACAACAGAAGCCCCCCAGAAGAGATATAGCAAACTAATCACTAAGCATAAAATAGCCAGTCATCTACCTCTAAACAAGTATTTTAGCGATGACCCTTGAGAAGTTAATTGAAACATACAAAGTGGAGAGCTCTTTCACGAAGTTCAAAATGAGCTAAGCTTTTAATAGAAAGTTAGCTGGAAGAAAAGTTCTGCAACCCAAAGAATCCACAACAGAGACATCAGTGGTTGCTCACTGAATCTATTTCTAAAGAAAATAACTGCAGTGAAAAGTCACAGCCAGAAGAATCCCTTATCAAGTCTTGCATATACATGAATTTATGTACTTAGGCTAACTTGTGCTACATAATTTGACTATGACCTTGGAAAAGCTGAGACCCTTCCTGAGACTTCTACAGAATATAAGCAAAATACGTCTGCACAAATTAATCACAAAAGGCCATTTCTCCCCCAGAAATAACATCCTAATCGCTTACCATACACTCATGCTCAACCTCACAGTTAGATAAAATCTAGGCCCAGACAGGAGCACTTGCCACTCCATCTGGGAGGTGATGGTGAGGAGGAGCCCAAGACTCTCCCCAGGCGTGCACCGAGTTCTTTTTCACCTCTACAGATCAGGGCTGCAAGAGGATGCTGCGCCGCAGAAACAAAGTAGCTTATTGCAGCACTTAGCCTCTCCATCTCCACTTCTGTAACGTTACCATTTCCCTTTATATCCCTACCTCTGCACTGCCATGGCATCTTTCCTCACAGACCCTATTTTTTTCCTACCTTTCCCAGACATAGTTTCAGCTTTTCCCTCTGGTTACAGAACCCCCCCAAAACCTGGGGGATAAAGCTGCGTTATCTTTTCAGCAAGCATAATGGGGTTTTTTTCCTGCTCTACAGGGTGAGATTTCTCCTCTCCCCCATCCCTCAAGTTCTGGACATCTAAACTAAATGCAGGACAGGATCTTTCTTAGCTAGCGCACGCTATCTTACTGCCCAGAAAAGCGTTGTACTTCTCGGCTATGCCCCAGAAAACCTGCTCCTTGAGCGTAGCGAGAGAGTCTGGACAAGCCAACGTACGTTTTGGATCAGGTTTTTACCCTACTTTGTCCTCTAGAAAAACGCAGTCACCTGATGGTCGGATAAATATAGCAATACGAGAGCAGCGCACTAACGCGCCGTGCTCCTCCAGGAGCGGCTCGAGGGCTGCAGCCGGGCGACGCCGACAGGAGCCCGCCGAGGGC